GGGAGGCTGAGACAGGAGGATTGGTTGAACCCGGGAAGCAGGGGTTGCAGTGAGTCAAGATTGCACCACTGCACTCCAGCCTGGGCAACAGAGTGAGACCCTGTCTCTAAACAAACAAACAAATAAAGTTTATTATGAGTTTCTAAAGACAGAAACTGTATTTATCACTTGGTATTTGGAATCTTTACATTTTGGGCCTCAGAAGGTCAGATGATTTGTTTTTCTAATTGGAGTAGGGAGAGCAATCTAATGAGTAAATAAGAGTTATGGAGGTAATTCTCTGCAGAATCGCTTGAACCTGGGAGGCGGAAGCTGCAGTGAGCCGAGATCATGCCATTGCTCTCCATCCATCCTGGATAAGAGAGTGAGACTTTGTCTCAAAAAAAAAAAAAAGTATTTCTCTGCAAATAACTCACTGTAGGTGGTTACTCTCTTTCTAGGTAAACAAAAAGCCAAATTGGATATTCCATCACTATATTTTATTTTTATTCATTTATTTATTTATTTTGAGATGGACTCCTCTCTGTCACCCAGGCTGGAGTGCAGTGGTCCAATCTCGGCTCCCTGCAACCTCTGCTTCCTGGGTTCAAGCAATTCTCCCACCTCAGCCTCCTGAGTAGCTGGAATTACAGGCGTCCTCTACCACACCCGGCTAAATTTTGTGTTTTTATTTTTTTTTAGATGGAATCTTGCTCTGTATCCCAGGCTGGAGTGCAATGGCTCAATCTTGGCTCACTGCAGCCTTCACCTCCTGGGTTCAAGCAATTCACCTGCCTCAGCCTTGCGAGTAGCTGGGACTACAGGCATCTGCCACCATGCCTAGCTAATTTTTGTATTTTTAGTAGAGGTGGGGTTTCTCTTTGTTGGCCAGATTGGTCTCGGACTCCTGATCTCAGGTGCTCTGCCTGCCTTGGCCTCCCAAAGTGCTGGGATTATAGGTGTCAGCCACCATGCCCGGCCACCATCACTGTATTTTAATCTGCAGAGGGGCAGCACCAGTCATATTTTATACCATAATAAAATAGGCAATTCTCTGAGGTCTTTGAATCTATTTTACTTTTATTTGAAAACACAATATCGGCATGGGCTGGGCGTGGTGACACACAGCTGTAATCCCAGCACTTTGGGAGGCAGAGGCAGATGAATCACTTGAGGTCAGAAGTTCGAGACCAGCCTGACCAACATGATGAAACTCCATCTCTACTAAAAATACGAAATTAGTCTGGTGTGGTAGTGCATGCCTGTAATCCCAACTGCTTGGGAGGCTGAGGCAAGAGAATCACTTGAACTTGGGAGGCAGAGGTTGCAGTGAGTCAGTATCACCCCATTGCACCCCAGCCTGGGCAACAAGAGCGAAACTTCATTTTAAAATTTAAAAAAAAAAAAGTAACTTGGATATGGTGGCATGCCTATAATCCCAGCACTTTGGAAGGCAGAGACAGGAAGGCAGAGACAGGAGGATCACTTGAGTTCAGGAGTTTAAGCCTAGCCTGGGCAACATAGCGAGACTCTGTCTCTACCAAAAAACAAAAAAACAAAAATAACACACACACACACACACACACACTCTCTCTCTCTCTCTCTCTCTCTCTCTCTCTCTCTCTCTCTCTCTCTCTCTCTCTCTCTCTGTCTCTTAAAAATTAGAACTTGGCCGGGCGCGGTGGCTCAAGCCTGTAATCCCAGCACTGTGGGAGGCCGAGGCGGGTGGATCACGAGGTCAAGAGATCGAGACCATCCTGGTCAACATGGTGAAACCCCGTCTCTACTAAAAATACAAAAAATGAGCTGGGCATGGTGGCGCGTGCCTGTAATCCCAGCGACTCAGGAGGCTGAGGAGGAGAATTGCCTGAACCCAGGAGGCGGAGGTTGCGGTGAGCCGAGATCGCGCCATTGCACTCCAGCCTGGGTAACCAGAGTGAAACTCC